TGAGTCGCCAGTCTGAAGACCCCAAAGACTGGCGCTCCCCGCCCGAGGCTCCCCGTGTGCTGGGGGCCCACCCTCCAGGAGCCACCAGGCAGGAAGCTAGCCAGCCGGAAGACTCAAGATGTGTGTTTTTAAAAATATATTTACTAGAGTGTTATCTAGCCATAAAGAAGTATAAACTTGAGACATTTCTAGGTAAATGGATGCACCTTGAAACCATTGTCTTGTCTTTTTGAGACAGGGTTTCACTATGCAGTTCAGGCTGGCTTTGAACTCACTTTGTAGTCCAGGCTGGCCTTGAACACTCAGTGATCCTCCTGCCTCCTCTCAAGTGCTGAGATTACAGGAGTGCACCACCACACCCGATCTCTCCTTCTGAATTGATCTTTTATGTCCACCAGTGACAACCATGAGCTGTGTTTCACCAAACAGTGCCATGCAAGTTTGCAGGAGGAAAATGACTATCATTTTGCTTTTATCTCCTCTTGACACAGTAGTTTCTCAGACCTTCCTTGTTTTCAGTGACCTTGATGGTTTTGAGGAGTTCTAGGCAGTTTGTAGACTATCCCTTTGTTGGGTTTGTTTGATGTTTTTCTGCTGAGGAGATTGATGTTACAGGCTTTTGAAAAGACTACACAGGTAAATTGCTGTTCCTATCACATATCAAGGGTGTATACTATCAACAGTATCACTGCTGATACTCACCTAGAACACCTGGCTGAGGTGGTTGTCTCAGTTTCCACTGGAAGGTTACTCTGATCTTCCCTGCCCTCTTTCCATATTGGATTCCTTGGAAGGAAGGGACTCTGAACAGCCTGCATTTAAGAGCTGGGGAGTGACACTCCACTTCCCTGAGGGCAGATTGTCTGCATAAATCATTTGGGATTCTCCTGCAAGAGAGAGTTGGCTCTCCAGCATTTATTTCTTTATTTAAACACTAATATCATTATGGACTGATGAGTATTTGTTCTCTACTTTGTGTTACAAGCCCATTCTACTTTATTGTTCAAGTTGTTTCAACTTTGTTATTGGGAGCTCTTCTAGCGGGTCCCTGTACCCCTGTACCATGTCCCGTCAGAGTGGTTTCTTCATTGTTCTTTGGTTGGTTGGATTTTTTTGCACTTCCTTTCTCTCTGGTTTTGTGGAGAACTGCAGGCTCATCTTGTGCTATTCCTGGCTCAGCCCTAGAATTAGTCATTTTCCAGGGCATGCTGCCTCCTTTTATTGGAAAATGGTATTAGAAACAAATCTGCACTCTAGATGTGTTGTGTGCATTCTATTTTAGCCCTTTTGAGCAGCCCCATGTGAACTCTATGACTTTATTTTTAATTTTTTAGGAAGTTTGAAACAGTAGGTAAAGTATATGGGTGAATGCCAGAGTCAGACCTCTTGGCTTCATCCCCTAGCTTCAGTAAGTATAGCTTGTGTGGACTTTAATCCCTCTGTGCTTTAGTTTCCCCATGCATATAGTGGAACCTGGAAAGTGTTTAATGATGGCTGGCACCTATCCATGTTCAAATGTGAAGGGAGTGGCAGTAATTGAGAAGAGAGAAAATGCTATAATCCTTCTGTATCTACAGGGTGCTGGTTCCATGACCCTGCAGATAACAAAATTCATGGATGCTCAAGTCCCTTGTATAAAATGGTATAATATTTGCCTATAACCTGTGCATACTTGCATACTTTAACATGTCCACAGTGGGCTGTAATTGTATGTCTCGCTACCAGGTGACTTGAACCACAGGTGGTACACATGCATGACTGTCCCGTCAGGCAGTTTTAATTAATTTTATTAGTAAAAAGACTGATAAAAGTGACTAGATCTGTTTGTACCACTGGTGGCTGAAGCTGTCCAACAGGACAGTCATGCATGTACCACCAGTGGTTTAAATTGCCTCTACATGACTTATAATACCTAACATAATGTAAGTTCCTTATACATAGTTAACTTCAGTTGTTTAGGGAAAAATGACAAGAAAAATCTGTGCATGTTCAGTACAGATGCTGTTTTTCTCTCAAATATTTTCCATCCATGGTTCATTGAATCCTCAGATGTGGAACCTGTGGCTACTGAGAGCCAAATGTACTAGTTCAACTGCTCAAGTCAAGTGACTCGCCTGGGACAGTCAAGTGGGGATTCTAGCATCCCTGCTCCCTCTGTTTGTTTGGTTTTTTTTTTTTTTTGGTTTTTCTCCGGTACTGGGAACTGAACTCACGACCTTGCGCTTGCCAGGCAGGCGCTTTTGCCGCTGAGCTAAATCCCCAGCCCCCCCCTGCTCCCTCTGAACTGTGAAGTCTTGTTTTAGTGGGTGAACCCACGATGAGTGTGCCCGATGTGCCACTGTGCTCTGTGCGGAATGTTAGTGCTAGTCCTGAAGGTGGGGGCTCAGGAGCTCCTGGTGGGAATGGACAGCATTTTAAATTAGTACAGTTATCGAGGTGTGTACACTGAAGAATATTTATCAAATATTATAAGCATGATGTGTTGTATGATTTTCAGGTTCCTTTAAGATGAAGAATGAAAAGCTGTTCGATTATTAGATTAACATGAGTCCTTTCTTCATTTTCTCTTTAGTGGACTCATTGGACGGAGCTGGGCTATGCTGTTTGCCAGTGGAGGCTTCGAGGTGAAGCTCTACGATATTGAGCAACAGCAGATAACAAACGCCCTGGAAAACATCAGGTAGGTCAGCTGGCGCCGTCCTGGAGGAACTAAACGGCGCTGTTTCTTTTGGGCTCTTTTCTGTCAGATCCTCAAGGCTATAAATATTTGTGATTACACATTTCATTTGATTTCTCTTCCAGTGTCGAGGCTGATAAAGATTTTGATCACTTTTAAAGTCCTTTCCAGTGCCAAGGAGCATGTGAGAGGTTTCTTTTCCTTCTTTGCGGGGGTGGTGGCAGGTGTTGGGAAGGGAGCGCAGAGCCGTACTTAGGCATAATAAGTAAATGCTCTGCCGCTGAGCCGCACCTCCAGATATATCCTTTTTCTTTTTAAAGTGAGATTAAAGGCTTTCCTGTTATTCTGTTGGGATTAATTGAGTTATTTCTTAATATAATTAGTGCCTAATTAGATTGAAATTTCAGTCACAAGTCTATGATTTTTGAACCAGAGAAACAAAACAGTTTATTACTATTAACAGCCATATTATAGAAGGAATAAATGTGCTGAATTCTTTATGTAAGCGAGATTTTTTTATATTTTAAATGCTTTATTGGTATATGTTTGTGATATCTAGTAATCATATTGTAGCTGAGATTTTAAAAAGGGTGCATACAAATTTTCCCTTATGCATAGTGCTTTATTTTTTAAGCCCACATGCATTTGAGCTGAGTTAATGTAAATAGAACTGGTTGCACTTCTTTGGCAGGAAGTGAAGAGATCTTAGGGTATCTTGTGACCTACCACCTCATTTTTCTCATCTTATTGCTAGCGTAGTTGTGCCCCCCCAACATACGAATTATACTGAATTCTTGGTTTTGAGTGACTTTTAAGTAGAGCTACCTCCCTTCCTTTCTTGAATCACAAGATCTTCAAATGTGCCATTCCTGTATTGAGAGATTAAGTTAAAAGCACAGACACTACACCTTATGTTTGTAAATATTTTGGTCAGTGTGATGAATTCTGCATTTCAAGTTTTTTTTTCAGCCAGGAAAGAATTATTACTGCTTCTCTCAGTAAGCACACTGTGTCAGCGAGCTGGTTAACAATGACTAAGTGTATTCAATAGCCATATCACTAGATGTTCAGGAATCCGGGACAAAAACATCCCTGACCACATTAGACAGTAAGAACATGAGGTAAACTCGGTGTGCTGATACCTATCTCTAACCCCAGCTACTTGGGATTTTGGGACTGCAATTTTGGAGCCAGCCTGAGTGACTTAGTGAGACCCTGTTTCAACATAAAAGCTACAAAGGGCTGGTGATGTAGTTCAGTGGTACTATGTCCCTGGGTTCAGTCTTTGTACCACACACACAAATAAAAGGACGCCTGAAACCACAGGTGCTAAGTTCTATCCATGTGTACTACATTCCCCCCCACCCATACACACATGTATGATTAAGTTTCATTTATAAATTAAGCCAAGTAAGAGACTAACAATAATAATAATAGAATAATACTATAATGAAAGTAAAAGTTATGACTCTGCCAAGAGTCGCTGCAAAGTCTGCAAGGAGTGAAGACAAGTGTTGCTATTTTTGGACTGTTGCTGACTGCAAAGAACTGAAATCCCAGAAAGCAGAGTATCGGATACAGGGGGGTTACTGCATGCAAGATGTACCTGGGGAGGAATGGCCTGAGGGGTGAGAGTAGTTTGTGGCCGATGGGCCTGTTTCCTACACTGCTTCCCAACACTGCCGCTCCAAGTTTGGGTTCCCTGAGGTCGGAGACTGCACTGGAGTCCCAGTGTCCCTCACTATTGGCTGTCCCGTGGTTCCTGGACTAGCCATCGCAGGTGCAGATGTGAGGACATCATGTTTCTTGTCCCCTGAGTCTGGAGTAGCACAGGCTCAGTAGTCGTTTTAACGGAATCCCAAGAACAGCCTATGGCCTCTCCAAGGTGATCCTCCTGGCCACGTTTCCATAGACATTTTTCCTGTCATCTGTCCCACCCTTGCAGTTTGCTTCACTTCTCACATTCTAATTCTTCTTAACTTTTTATTTTATTTGGTTTTTGTTTTTTTTTTTCCAGTACTGGGAATTGAACTCACAACGTCACGCTTGCCAGGCAGGCACTGTGCCACTGAGCTAAACCCCAGCACCCCTTCTTAACTTTTTATAGCAGAAAATATGCAGTTGAAATTTTACTACTGCTCATAGAGAAATCCTATGTATGTTAAGCACTAGTTTTTCTTCAGTATTTGTGACTAAACCCAGGGACTTGCACGTAATAGGAAAGTTCTCTACCACTGAGCAACATCTCCAGCCCTTTTTATTATTTTGAGACAGGGTCTCACTAAGTTGCCTGTGTGGGACTTGAACTTGAGATCTTGCCTCAGCCTCCTGAGTAGCTAAGATTATAGTAGAAATGGTACATCTTGATTCTGAACTTACAAAAAAATGAATAGAAACTAGGTGAAGTTGAGTTTTGAAAATATTAAGACAATAGAAGATTAAAGAAATTCCTCACAACTCATATTAAGCCAAAGACTCTCAGTGAATCAAAAAAATAAAAAGCTGTCATCCAAGACTAATCTGTCTCTGGCAGAGTGGCACAATGAGAAACTTAAAACCTAGCAGGTTTACGTCTCAGACTGAAGGGCAGCTTGCCCGTGGAAGACCATGTTAGCAGGTGTTTTTCTGCTCTTTTGGTTCTCCATCGAGTGCTGAATGTTTGGCACTCCATCGAGTGCTGAATGCACTGGGTCTCAAGGGATTCTCAGAGGACAAAAGAGGCATTTTAAAAAAGAAAAACAGAAATCAAGTAAACGAAGTTGTCACTTGACCGCTAGGTCTGGACTCAGGGCTGGTCTTGTTTCCATGTAGTGGGTAGGCCATTCTGGCCCTCACGGGAACAGCACACTGACGGAGCCCTTGTGGGTACCTCAGTGACCGCCACCCCAACTCCGGGGCTGAGCGAGCTGCCATGTCTGGCTTGAGTCCCGCTCTGAAGTCACTCTGCCTGGGTGTCCCTGCTCTCCTATCCCCGTTTCTCTCCCACTGTGTCTCAAGTGGCTGGAGGTGGTCACTCTGGTACTCACCCATTTGACAATGACTCAGCATTTTAAATAGGCTAGGAGTTAATAAACCACCAGACGCAATCTCTGAAATAAGGTGGCTGCCCTGTACTTCGTCTCTTAAGTAACTGAACTGGCCCCTGAACTCAGGTGTTGCCATGACCACATCTCTCTCTCTCCCTCTCTCTCTCTCTCCCTCTCTCTCTTCCTTCCTCCCTCCTTCTCTCTCTCTCCTTTTCCTTCCCTCTCCCCCTCTCTCTCCTTCTCTCTCTCCCTCCCTCCGTCCCTCCCTCCTCTCTCTCTCTGTCTCTCTCTCTTTCTCTCTTTTAACTTGCCACTCTCCTTTCTGCCCTGGACTAAATTTTGTTTTGAGCTCTGTTTTGATCTGGATGCTGCTGACTTGGTCTGTTCTGTTCTGCTTTGAAACTTACTTCAAGTTTTCCCACGTCTTTCACCATAATAGCTGGAACAATGGACCATAAAATGGTGACAAATTGCTCCCCTCTGTGACTTCTGTCCCCTTTGCAATGTGATTTTGCTGCTTTTCGCCCTGACCCTGGCCTGGCCACGGGCTTGCACTGGCTGGTGGGACATTAATCAGTGTGACTCCCTAGAAGCTAGAAAAGTGAGATTCCCCTCACCTGCCGTTGGGAACTCTTCCTCTCACCTCTGTCTACCCAGCTGGGGCCATGAGCCCAGTTGCTGGCCAGCAGCAACCAGCATGAATTACTAGACAGAAAGGTGAGGTCAGTGTGGATCAGTAGCCCTCAAACAGCTGCCCCTGACTACAGCCACATGAGTGAGTCCAGCTGAATCCAGCCAAGTTTACCAACTCCAGGCCTGTGACCAAGAACTGTAGGTAACTGACACACTGGGCCTTGATTTCTAGGGTTTGGAACCACCTCTGATTCTAAGATCTGGGGTCTTCTGGGTTTGTCTTTCCACAGTGTTTGTGCCACTCAGGGAATTCTACTTTTGTAGGAAGTCAGATGGAGCTTTCAGTCCCAATCCTTGTCTTAAAGGAACATGCCATACGTAAAGTTTTATTGAGGCACACCCAGTTAGGGGAAGTAGATATGTAAGTAATAATTAACATACTGTGAGATTTTAGGAGAAATGGGATGGTTCCAGCCACACAGGAAAAAGCAATGTTTGAACATAGACTTTGTAGGTAAAATTCCAAGGATGGAGAAAACATACCAGGTAGAAGAATAAACCAATTGTATTTCTATATGTTAGCAACACACAATTAGAAAACAATAAAAAATTTACTACACTTATCAACAAATGTAAATCTAGGCATAAATATAAGAAAAATACAGAAGACATTAATGGAGAATTTTTTTCTGTTTTATAGAAGGACAGACAGATACCCCATTCTTGAGCAAGAGTCAGACATTAATAGCTTAATTACCGGGAAGTAGGGTTCCAGGGGCAGCTGACAAAACCTGACTGGATAGAGGAATTAGGAAGCAAGTTCAAGTGCTGTGGTTGGAAGTTCACATGGTAGCCATGGGTTTGGCTGGTCATTCAACCTGACCGATCTGTGTGTTCACAGGTTCTGCTGTCACTTGGCCGTCATTCAGACAGTTCAAATGATTGCTTCATTTCCTTGTTTATCTTTCTTCACAAACAGAAATAGATTTGCCTTATCTGATTTGTGAAAGCCTTTTTTTTCTCAAAGAGAATTTAAATGTGAAAAGCAACATCAGCGATTTGCCCTTCATAAGAGGCTAACAAGAGCCTCCCAGCTTCTTCAACAGAATATGATATACCTAAGGGAAAATACTTCAGCTTCACGCAGTAAAAACAGGCGTCTTGTATGTTAGGCTTTTAGTATATTTGAGTTAGATCCTGAGTACATGCTTCATAGGATATGACCAGTGATACTGTTTCCAAAGGACCCTGCTTCATATTACTTTTTTTAAAGCCAGAGTTCTCAGATCTTATACTTGAAAAGAGTTGAACTGTTTGAATTGTATGAATCAGTCATAGAAACAT